AACAGTATCCACATTGACTACGAGGAAGAAACTTTAACAGTTCATTGGAAAAAAGATTGTCTTTTGCGTAAAATAAATTATTTCTTTCATCGGACAAGCATATCAAATAATTCAGTGAATTCAACAAAAATTTGTAACACAAACTGTAATGAAATAAAACAAATTGCTTTCTTTAAAAAAAGAAAAGCAATACGTGAACCCAAGACCGCTGACTGGTCACCAAAATATTGTTGCTGAATTTTTGTTTGCTTTTGAATTGACTCTGAATAATTGTCTGTGAATAGAAGAAGATAATGATGATGTTAAAACACCTTTATTAAAAATATGTAATTGTGTGTAGATTCTTGCACAATTCAGTTGAAAGCAATGATGGATAGGTGTGAATAGAAAAGTGTATATCCGACTATTTTATTTATTACTTGGGAGTGTACATCATTTTTCACAACAATTTTGCAAATCCCAGTTTCTACAAACCGGATGTCTAATGCAAATTGCATAAACCAATCGCAATATAAATTTAAGCACTCAGTATGCTTTATAATCTGGATGCCTTTATTTTATCTATCATATCTTCATATTCTGTTTCTTATAACGAGACTCATTTTGGTCTCATAAAACATCTCGAATTTTAAGGATTTCATGATTTTACTTAAATCAATCCAAATATTCTACAGGAAAACTTGGTTTTGTAGAATATCTTATTTTCAGAAGTTTTATGAATACCTGAACATACTCTAAAACCAATTTATATAAAAAGATATGTAGATATAAAAAGATACCAGGATTAAAATGGTGTACGCTAGACGCGAGTTAAGTCTACAAAGAATCATCAGTGACGCTCGAATAAAAAAGTTAAAAAGGCCAAATAAAGTACGAAGTTAAGTAATCTATTCCTTGAGTAGAAAATCCTAAGCATTTCAAAAATGTCAAAGTTTATAATAGGACAGTGACTCAAAAAAAGAGAAAACAAAAGAGAAACAGCTAGAAGTCATAATACCGTAAGTAACGATGACCGTGTTTGAAAGTCACATGTCAAGCTCTTACTGCCGTGTCCTGGTTTTAGATAAGAAAAGCGAAAATTCGTATTCACGAGTGAAATTAATATTTATGCATGCACGTGGTATTTTTGCGCAAGAAATAGAAAATAGAAAGCATACGAACTGATACTCCGGATAAGAATACGCATTTGCGTCATCACATATATTAATCTAATAGTTGATTTCGGATGTCAAACTACCTACCTCAATTGTTTTGATTCCGGATTCATTGACATTTTATCCGGGATTTTTGTGAACACAAACAGATAGGGTGATATATAATATGAATGATAGCTGGTCAACACAATGAATACAATTTTCAAAATAGTACCATAGTACATAGATTTAGATGCTATAAGGTTGAACTATTAGAACAAACGAAAAAAAAAGAAAAAGAAATGAAATTTTATAATTAACATACATTCCTGATAGTGGATTTTTTCCGAAAATTTAGAATACAATATCAATAAATACAAACGTCAAGTATTTACGGATGGACATTTTATTTATCAAATCAATCTCTTCTTAAAGTCTACCATTCCACTATATGAATATATTGCTATACAAAATATAAGCAGAGACTTATGAATCCATACTAAAACAGTATAAAATAATTAACGTTATGACAGTAATTGAATTTTTTTATGATTATTGTAAAATATTTAAAGATGCAAGCATTTAAAAATCCGTGTGAATTGAAACCATGCTAGTATTTTTTCATTCACGACCGTTTAAATTTTAGATTTTTAGCTAACTTTAGGTACGCATCCCTGCTCATTGGTGCTCATACGTTGCATATGATTTTCATAATATAATGACTGTTCAAACCTGTGAGACATAATGCACGTATATATGACAATTTTATTTATATTCCATTAAGAATAAGTTTTATAAACTTAATAATGAATATTCTCTTGGTCTGGTAGTATCTATTAATTAAATTAGATATTTTTGACTGAACAATTCTTTTGTTTAATTATCTTTCTGCTTTTCGACCACTGTGTTTCCGACCTAAGATAAATATTTTTAACAGACATATCATTTTCGTAATTTTCTTCATGCTTTCCGACATTTTCCCATGCTATGATTGAAATACAAAATATAAAATGATAAACGTTCAGAAATAATCAGTTTGTTCTGGGACGTTATATGAAACGGGGACCCAATAATTTCCCCCATTACTTCAATGCAATTTTATCCAAATTGAGGGGCAGATTTTTTATTCCCTATATTAGACTGCAAAATTTAAATTACTTTCTCACACTTGTAGCCCCCTTTATGGTTTCTGTGAGAATTCTTGGAAGGTCACGACCGGCATTTAAGAGAGCAATACTGTTTTGAGTATTAAATAGGTCATTTTATTAACTTCCTGGTTAAAATTGAAAATAAACTTTGGACCATTTACTCAGACAATCATCCATCCTATACATTTCAGAATAACTGAAAATTTAACAGAAGTTGAAAGTTTAACGAATACCCTTTAGATATACTACAAATTTAAGCATCTTTACATAATTTTCATCTCGGTACAAAAATATCCCATTTAAAAGATGGCAGATTTATCAAAGGACTTCATTCGTGGGTACTGGACTGGTATCCTGCAACTGGGATCCTATTCCATATATCAATAAACCATTCCTAGGTTTATTGTCATAATGCACAACAGCACGCTGTATTAAATACTAAACACACAACGCGTACAGGGACCATTTCAAAGCATGAATTATATAATTGCGTTATCATTATACTTGATATTTAATAAACATTCACATTATTAAAAACCCATATGTTTTGTCAAAAGGCAAATAGCTTCTAACATATAAATGGTTTTTTGACTGCAACCTAGTCTTTATTGTTTTACTTTCCAATCTACAAATGAACTTTGATTGCTGAAATATACCATGTCACGTGGTAGCCTATCCATATAGAGGGACCGTATCAAAGACATAGGTAACTACCTGTATAAATGATCGAAAATTTTCGAGACGTTCCGAGAATCTTGATTCCGAGAATATCGAATGGCCCACAGACACTTCCAAAACTCACCAATATATAAGCGTGAGGGTGGGGTTCACGCACAAAAAGATGTTTCAAAATCTGGATATTGTTTCAAAATTATAATGAAGTGCATTTTTGGATTCCTCAAATTCGATATGCAAATTCGAAACTATTGTGCAGAATTCAAATAATTGTTCATATCTTTGTTGACAAGAAGCTGCTGTTATATGTGTACTGTTTTCTGTCGGTTAAAAACTATTGATAACAGAGGATACCTGTACAATTAGTTATCAACTAAATGATCATCTTCCTGTCAAAGTAAAAGCAGGTATAGAATTGGTCTTCTCTCGACAGGAGGTAACAATCGTTGTCAAATGGCGTCGTTTGTTTGGATTTGCGGGATGATTAAATTTGCAGCCACGTCTGGTCAGAATTGTAACGTTTTAATCCGATGCCTCGTGTTGAGAGAGTGCTACGCTGTCTGCACGTTATTAATTCTTGCAACAACTCGTTGAGGGATCCGTACTTTGTCTGTTTCAAGTTAAAATTTCTGGACTTTGTTAAGGGGAATGTATAAGTATGCTGCCACGTACGGTCGGTGTTTTAGTTATTTGTTTTTCTGCTTTGTATCGATATGATGAGTTACGACCTTTTCAACTGATTTTTAAAGGGTGTTCCTATGTTGTACTGTAACACCACTGTTCCAGGTTAGGGGAAGGGTTTGGCGTTAGCAAACATGTTTTTATCCGCCACATTCTGTATGTAATTGCCTGTCCAAAGTCAGTAGCCTGTTATTCAGTGGTTGTCGTTTGTTGCTGTTTATCGTATTTTTTTTAAATTGTTTTGTAATTATTCTCTGTTTTGAATTTTTTTACATTTGTCCCTTCGGGGCCGTTTACATCTTACTATACGGCATGGGTTTTGATCATTGTGGAAGACCGTACGGTGACCTATAGTTGTTAATTTCGATGTCATTTGGTCTCTGGTGGATAGTCCTCTCATTGGCAATCATATTGCATCTACTTATTATATTATCATATTCAAATATTGATGACACAGTGTGAAATAAGTTATTTACATTCTTTCCTTTTGAGTATTCCGAAATTATCCCAGTTACCATGTTATCACTGAATATGTATTGGTATACAATGTACGATTGTAAGCATGTTAATCGTCCTTCAGAGTGATGTGTGCGGGTTACTATCTCATTTCAATCCATTCCGGTTTTTTTTTTATTTTAATGTGTACTAGTTGAATACTGGCAGCTGTCCCAAGTCAAGAGCCTATAATCCAGTGGTTGCCGTTGGGTTTAGTCTGTCATGTTTATTTCTCGTCAATTATTTTTGTTATAAATCATGCCGTTGGATTTCTCGTTTGAATTCTTTTACATTTTGTCATTTTGGGCTCTTTTATAAAGCTGACTATACGTATGGATGACTTCATGGTGACCTATAGTTTCTTTAATATACGTCATTTGGACTATGGTGGATAGTATCATGAAATAGAAGTCCCTTCATAATTAAAGTTCAAAATAGAAAAAAAAACCAAACATTCTGGAATATTATTTCTACTGCAACAAAAATATTACAGTATTTGTTCCTAACGGATTAAATGATATAGATTATTTGTTTTAAAAGAACATATATCATGGCATTGATTATAACAAAGTTTCCTGGGGAACTGTTGTTACTAGGCCAAAAAATATACGTTGACAATAGCTTTCTTATTGGCGATCATACTGCATCTTCTTTTTTTCATAAACATAATAAATGTGGTTTTGTTATATAGATGCATGTTTACTAAACCAACAATAAGGGGTTTGAAATAAAGCCCAGAAGAGCTGACAAATAGTTATTCTGATAGAACAAACAAAACAAGTCATTTAAATATGAATTTATTGCTGACAATGTAATGACACATATATACATCATATGTTAAACACAAGCGATAAGAAATGCATTTTTTTGTAAAATCTCATGTCTTTTATGTTATCACGCTCTTCCAAGGCAACACATGTTGATAAGCACTGCTGTAAGATACAGAAGAATGTTCCCAGATACTCCTGAAAACGACACAAACAATTATATGTATATTAAGCTTTGTCAAAGGGTGTGATTCGCATTGAAGTGGGAAAAAAAACCATGGAATACCTAATAATTGTTTTTGACATACTGTTTTTATATTATTTTAAAGAATATCGCATTATACATTAAAATGATAAAGAATCTACCTAATGATACGAACATGAAAAATTGTCAAAGAGAGGTGACATTATATATGAAATATAAAATATCGTTGACGGCTAAAATCTCATAAAAGTGTGATATGATTTCCGTTTTGTTGAACTTGCAGTAATCTCTTTCGCTTGATGTCAGACAAAACTATTTAAGATGGAACCAGAGTAAACTCGCCATTAAGAACGACCAAGTCTTGTCGTGTATTATATATAAATACATATCTATAAAGATCTTGATAGGTTGAACTGGATAAATGGGAACCAAATTTTAAGTTAGAGAACACGGAAGAACAATAACAAGAACTATTTCTCGAGTAGACCATTTTTTTTATTTCAATAGATCTTATAGTCATTGATAACGATAATAAGGACAAGAAACGGTTCAATTATATCGCCACAAGCATTTGTTTTATTAAAGAATGTCCAATCATATAGTCTATGTATAAACAATTGGTTATGCAAAAATTTTCTGCATGCATCATTATGTAAACTATCTGGATTATTTCAAGTGATCTTTATTTGAACATTGAAATTGCATTGTAATAAATAAATGTAATATTATACAATAGATTTAGTGAAAGTTTATATATATATTTATCTTTAATAAATAATCATTTGTATGTTTAAATATCTGAATAAACTTAAGAATCGTATTGACCAAGATTTCTAAAAGTATAAAGTCCCAATTTCTTGCTATAAACAGAAACTTTTTTTGTTAACTTTCCTCAATACTGACAGTTGCACTCTTAACTAAATTGCAGTAAAAAATAGAAAGAAAAAGGTGTTTAATACCTTCACTTCCATTTGCACCATTAAAGCGATCAGCAACAGTAAATGATACAGATGAAGTCTCTTCTCTGTATTCATGCAGAGGGTGGGATTCTATGTTGGAGCTACGCCTCCGTCTGCCTGCTGCTTGTGGTTGACATGTCTGTTGAATAGAATAATAATAAATGCTATAAAACTGCATGGGTGTACATTTTTTGTGTGCACAATACGTCCATTTAATTCCCCACTAGAACACATATTTGTTTAGGAGCCAGCAGAATCTCTCCTCCGAGTGCAGGATTGTCTCGCTGTGTTTAAGACCCATTGGTGGCCTCGGGCTGTTTCCTGTTCTTTGGGCGGGTTGTTGTCTCTTTGACACATTCCCGGTCTCCATTCTTAATTCTATTTTCAAATGGTTTCGGAATGGTGTGTTTTTTTAGAAAAAAAATCATACCTAACAGAAGTTATTAAATTGTTTTTAAACACATCACAAAATGTATTCTCTTGTTTCTAGCTTATAATTACACTTTAGCAATGTCCGTTTATCAGTTGTACAGCAGAATCTCCCGAAATCCTTCCTAGAATAAGTTTATGTAAAAAATCACCAGGATAATAACGCTCATCGTTACAAAAAAAGTAGAAAAACAATGCCTTTAAAATTTAAACGGCGTCATCATCTTTTTTTATTCGATTTTACGTATTTTAGATATATTTTGCCTCTAAATTAAATGATGATTAAACGGGCTTCGTGAAATTGAGCGGCAAATATACTATTATCGTTTCATGTAGTCGGGAAGCACACATACGGGTTTAAGGATAAAAATGCTTTGTACTCGAATATAATATAACAATCAGGAGAATTGGTATCATTGCAAAGAAGACAACTATGGATCAAAGTTCAAATGAAGTGGATGCTAGCGATTATAGAAACCGTACAATGTACGGCTTGTAAGAATGAGAAAAAACCGTATTGTCGGCTATAAAAGCCCCGACATGAAAATGTGTAACAATTCATTTACATATTATTAAAGTAGAATGTCATCTAATAATGTAGTATAATACTGAAGCTATAAATTTCATAAATGTATACACACGTTTACTGCACTGATGCATGCTGAATCTGATGATAGACAAATATAAGCGGAGCATTCAATCGTAACACTGCTTGAATCAACAAAACGAAAGGCATACATGTCTATCGAAATTGTTTCATTGTTGATTGTCCACTTATCCCCCATGATAGCCATGTCATTGGATTTGCAGGTAGAGCTGAAAAAAACAAATGATAAAAATCAGTGTACAAGTACAAACATATGTCACAAATATACTGACATGTGTTCTCTGCTAATGTGGTAAATTTTAAAATTGCTAAAACGTTTTGGGTTTAAGTTTAAATGTTTAATTTCTGTGCTTATGTTACATTTTAATGTGTGTTAGATCCATGTGCTGATTTATATTATATTATTATGTGTGCTAACTCCTAACCTTATGTGTGTTGTCTCAAATGAATCTTTACTTATTACAATGTTTTATATGTATTTTGTAGTCGGTTGCCGGAGCTTTTACAAGCTCATGTGTATTGTATATATGTGCCGATTCTAAATAAAATGCGTTTGCTTAATGATTTTAAGAAATGTTAATGATATAAAAAACGGCATTAGACATTCAATAACTTTTATAGATTATGCATTAAGCATTTTAAAGCAGCCTTGGTTGTCGTGTATTAAATTATGAATCGTTAATTATATAAAGGACAAGAAACCTTATAAGGTGGATAATATTTAAAATTCAAGTACAAACATTGTTATATATAACTTACTTGATATCTATAAAGTAAGCATATGAAGAAAAAGAAGAAACAAAAACTTACTTTTCCCACAACAGGTATGGATCATTAATGCCCGTTGCGTTACATTTGATTGGGAAAATTTTGCTGTTTGCTGTAATAAAAACATACCTTATATTTTTTAAAATGATGGTTTTTGTGGGTCTAATGAATAAAAAAAAATAGTTGTATCGATCTATGATAACTTTAATGCTAATCAAGAAAAAAAAAATGTTAACAGTAATGTCTATCATGAAAACAGACTAAAAAGTCAGACAAAGCGTTAATTCTTTAAATATTCTTCTACTTGCTATCTGAGAAGTTGTTATACTAGAAAACATTAAAGACTGAAAATTGGTGTTTTCTTTATCAAAATGTTTCCTAGTGACAAAACACATATTATTCACAATTTTTTCAGTTTATGACAATTATAGTAAAACCTGTCGCCTTATTTGAATATCAATAATAAGACAACACTTGACCGAACGACGCATGGATGAAAGAGAGCATTGCAGAGTGTAACCCGTAGCAGCGGTCGATCACAAGTGGTCTTAGTATACCACACGCAACAAAGTTGTGTAGGGTATTATGTTTTGACCCGTTTGTCCGTCAGTCCAGTTCTTGTCATCGCAACTCCTCTGCAACAGCACAACAGAATTTCACAAAACTTTGTAGATAATAAGCTAAAGGACATTACATGTGTAAGACTGAGATCAACGTCTGGTCTCTAATCGACGTCCGTTCCTGAAATTGACGACCAAATCTGACGTCATAATAAAATTAGATTCTAAATCGACGGCCAATTCGTGATATGCCCCTCTAATCGACGTCTTTCTTCTTGTTATCAAATTGACGTCCAATTTTTGACTTCTCTAATCAACATCCTTTTTACGGACTTGCCGCAATGACATCACAACTTTATTTATGTTGGTGGGTTTAACCTAAAACTCAAAAAGTTGTTGAAAAATATATAAGATTTTAAATCTTACAGAGTCCAAATGGTAATACGTTTCAACAATTGGCTGTACTTTTTTATTCTGTTTATTGTTAATGTCACTCGATTATCTTTGTTGTTGGGTTGTTGTCTCCCTGTCGTATATTCACATTTATATGAATATGAAAATAATACGACAACGTAGATCGACTCCTTCCACCAAAATACTCAAAATGTGCATGTTAATGTAATAGGATGTCGGTGATGGTCTTATTATCGTTTTTCTGATGTTTGTCTTTTATTTCGAAAACGATATGAGAAAACAATTAGTTTCTTTAAGCAGCTGTAAAATACTATCATACCACATCTTCTTATTTTTATATTTACTGATAATATAAATAATAATCAAACAATAATAAACGATTACATAATATTGAACATCGACGAGAGAAGACATGTGACGTCGATTAGAGGGTAAATATTGGACACTAATTTGAAAACGCGACGAATAGATTGGACGTCCACCTGAGTACAACATATGTTGATGAGCATATCGACAGGGAAATTATGTTTCAATTTTTATTCTTTGAGTTATGCCCTTTGAACTTAGAATTTTGGCCTAGATATATAACTGCAACCATTTGTCTTCGTGACTCCTCTGAAACCACAAAACAGAATTTCATGAATTTTGAATATTATTAGAACAAACTATATGTAGATGCGTAAATCGACAGGAAATTATGAATTAATATATTTTATGCCCCTTTGAACTTAGAATCTTGGCATCAATATACTACTACAACAGTTTGTCATCGCAGCAGCAGTTTTTCATCATTTGACTTTTGTAGGATTTGTGAATCTTTGAATTTGTTGAGATTTGGTTTTCCAAGTGACAATATGGGTGCGTAGGTTATGCAAGCATGATCACAATGGGTTCTTTCATCTTTTAATATTCATATACGGCGATTAATTTTACTAGTTATTATATATATGATGTTTTTAGGTGAGGTTGAGGAATTTGTGGCAGATGTTCGTTCTCCTTATTTGTTTTCCTAACGAGTTTTCTACGATTCAGGGTAAAATATTTTGCCCCATAACACACATTTGTCTTTTCATATAAGACCTCAATAGCTCATACAAGGCCATTTACTAAAATTTAAGCAGATTCTAGATTTTTTTTCGTTCCATTTGAGACCCAAGTAATATCAATGCAAATATAAGGTAAAAGTCCGAGTCAGCATTTTCCCCGTCATTTTTTAAAATCAAATATCTCGAAAAAGAGCTCCATAACCTATCAATATTGATAGCTTATTTTGTTCCTTAACTAATGATCTTCGAATTTATAGTATCGATTTTAAATTCTAGATTTTTAAAATGTCTCCTAAGTACATCCGTAAGCTACAAAAGAGTTTTTAATATCAAAGCGCAAATATTTAGTTCGAAGTCTGATTTGAGGGTCATGTAAAAGGCGGGGACAGTCACGTGAGTGAAAACCAACGAATTATTACATATATGACATTATCAGAATTTATTACAATGGGAACATTATATAAATCACCATCATCTAGACGATTATGTTCTCTATCAATTGTTATATTCTAACCAGAGATACTTAGGATACAATTGAAACGCCGGTCGCTTGCAATGCCCCCCCCCCCCCCCTTTCAAATAAAAATGCAAATACATACCGGGTCAATCTAATTAAAATATAGATCTCGGATTTCGTTATACTACGTTATACTACATACGAGAAGTATGTAGTATAACGTAGTATAACGAAATCCGAGATCTATATTTTAATTAGATTGATACCGGGTCCCTTTATTTTCAAAGATAATAATTGTCCAATGTCTACTGCAGTTTTTAATTCGTTTTTATCTTTGTAAATTGTAATATCGATTCCTGGTCTGTTTGAAGGTGTTAACTCTTTATGGATATAAGACGGAATTGTTGACCTTGAGAAAAAAAAAACAAGAAATTTCTTTAAAGCAATTGCTGAATAATGTGACAAAAGGCAACTGATATGAAACCAACCGTACTTTTTAATCACAAAGTTTGAACTGTATTCTACGTTAAAGTGCGATAGGTAATTTCATACTTGAACATGTTGAAAGAACTATACTTTATATTTGTCTTCCCAAAAATGTGGTCTTCCAAAACAAGATACTAGTGAACAGAAACCGTTACATACGTTTTTCTTAATGATCCTCCAATTTCATTGATCGAGAAACCTTATCCGTAATGATGATGTTAACGAGAATCGAAACTTTGACAGGCAATTATACTGAAGAAACAATATAATATTCAAAATTACTGCCCAAAAGTTATTAAAATCAAACAATCAAAACACTGTTGTCCATTCTACCAACTATCCAATTTTTATAAAATAGAGCCTAGCACCCTTTTTTATATTTTGTTTGTTATTGGGAACTAGTTGTTTTGGCGTCGCACAACAAAACGTGACGGCATTGAATTGGGGCAATAGAAAACATATCAACAATTTTCGATAAGGTTCTTATTGTTCAGTCATTAGTTTTTTTCCTGTGTAATATTTTGTTGTCTGCTGTTTACTTTTTTGTAATTTGTAATTTGAAAGTTTGCCCACATTTTCTACGAGCCTTGCATGAGATCCTGTCAGTATGTCGTTTACTTTTTAATCAGAAGTGCATTCGCTGATATAAACGCATGACGATTTCAATAACTTGCACATTTTGAGGTTGCTTTCAGCAACTGCAAGTTTTTTTGACACCATGATATTTATTGTTTTTTTCCTCGTTTTTCAAGGTTGATCATGTGGAGTATAATTCAGTGAAACATTAAAGTAAATCTATATAACCTAACATTTTAAAAATGCTAACACTTTTTTTAAGAATGACTTTTAGTATGATTATAAATTTGAGTTGATTTTTTAGCCGGCTTTTTCAAAGTTTATTATGAAAAGTGAGTGTTAAAATATGATTCAAGTATAGATAAAAATAAAGGAAACATAGGAATGAATAAAAAAAAAACCCCAAAGATATCGAAAGAATATCCTGCTTCCTTGGACTACGTTCCAGATATTAGCTGAAAGCCATACACTGTCACGAGAATATTAGTATATATGTAACGTTCTGATTATTGCGATCGGGAACCAGTCTATCGAAAGAACTACTTAGTGTACCATTCATCCCATATTCTTTATTTGAGTCTTGCGCGTACAGTGTCGTGTTCCTTAATTGGATCAAATAACAAGCAATGTTGTCAATAAAATGAAATAACTTTACATCTGACTGCTTTAACTATAACCTTCTTTCTAAGATATAAATTGCCGTTACATATCGGCGAACTCCTTCGTTGTAGGATGACTAATGCGCTACATACCAATCAAAAGGATGTTTAAATATAAAGATTTACCCTATTGAAAAGGAAACAGCTTTAGCTCTTGCAACGTATCCACCAGATTTGCATTCCAATTCATAATAATATGGATGGCCGGCCACAACCTTTGCGTTCGTCTCTTTTTCGTCATATATCACATGAATTTTTTTATACATGTTCTGAAAGAAAAAAAAAGTAAGATCAGTTTATCAAAATGAAACAAAAGATTTAATGCAAGTAATTTCTTCAAGAAAATTTCAATCACTGAGACATTTAAATCATGTACCTGTAAGAGATTCGCAGTTTATTATATAGACGTAAGCGTAGACCAAGAATCAACAAAACTAATTTTGATTTGCAAACTTTACACGGGTGACCAATATATATATAGCAGGAACTATCGATCCTTCCGGAGCACCTGTCTTAAACTCGCGTGTTGTTCAATATTTGGTTTTCGGTATATTGATTTGTAATTCTTATTTGTTACTTGTCGTATTTATTTTTGGTCATAACGTTTTCTTTCCATATAAGACTTGGTATTTTCTCTCTCCCTTATACATTTCGAGTAGTCTGCATATACCACTGCATATTCAATATTGAATTAATAATAACCGACAACAAATTTATTTTTCAGCAACCTACTCTTACGCTAAGCAGGAATGTTGTTTGTAATTGATACTTTATTGCATCTACAAAATATACATTTCGGAGACTTGAAAATAGCAAGAATAATTTATACTTATTGACTGGGTATGAGTGGAATAGTAAGTTTATTGTCCCCCGAGGTACAACTATTGCCCTGGGACTCTATTCACAAAAAAATCTTATGACTAAAATTGATCGTAAGTTATACTGAAACGTTCATGACTTGCGAGTGTTTTTACTCGTAAGATTTTTTGTGAAAAGAGTCGCTGATGCGTAGACGAGGGCAATAGTTGTATCCGAGGGGTCAATAAACTTACTATTACACGAATATCCAGTCAGTAAGTGTTTTCTTATACCGAAAGAGACAACAAACAATAAATGTTGCGGCTAAATCAACTATCGTAATATAAAAAACAGAAACACAACCATACTGTTCAACGTTTACTTCATATATATTCTGAATACTAAGTCTACGTCCTCCACTGACGTCAACCCTAGCTACAATATTAGGTAAAACGCGACGTCGCAACTCCCGCGGTATTATCAACATCCTCCAATCCCGTAGCTGCATTTGAAATTCCGCGAAATATAATGACACTTGCAGTCAAACAGTTTCAGCGAGGTCCAATAGTTGGAAACTATTGACCGGTCAAGTAGTTCAAAGCTTGCAATTTGAAAAATAGTCAAAATAATGTGTACTTATTTTATATAGAAAATTATCACTGAGGTATAATAATTTTAATTATACAGTTAATTACTTACTTCCCACTTGCACGTTCCCTCAGAAATATGACACATTGTTCCATTTCCAAAATCAATTACAACTGATTTCATCTCTATACCCTTACCAAAAATATTTTGAATTTGTCCACTTGAACAATCTAAAATACAATTGTACGTGTGTCAGTATATTCGGTTGTAGCTAATATTTTTGTTTAATATTTGAAATATTCTAGTATTCATTGGATATAAAACTATATTATTTTGCCTTTTCACATTGAATTCTGCACAAACCTACTGTGACCTTGTACTAGTACACTACTTCCTCACTCAATACATCTGCGAGTTATTTTATTTATTTGAGTTTAAGTTATTAAAGTAATATAATAATTAACATGGGAATTTAAGTAAAAAATCAATGTTGATTGAATTTAGAAAAGAGGCTGAAGATAGCAAAGGGTACACTCGAAACTCTCGAGTCGAGGAAAAACTGACAACACCATGATAAAAAACGATCAACAAAGTTTTCTCAAAGAGAGTGGAAAAATACCAAGTGGATATTCAAACTGATATGTCAAAAACAAACTGATAATGCCATTTCATAAAACGAAAAACGACAGAACACGCAATTCAACATTAAAAAACTAGAGACTGACCAACACGAGCCCACCAAAAACCGGTGATGATCTTGAATGCCCCGGAATGGTAAGCAGTAATTCAATTAAAACATACGCTTATAAAAAATGCGTTGTTACAGAAAAAATTATAAAAGAAAATCCCCGTAAAAATAGTAATTTAAATAATTGATATATTTTGAAATTATGAAATTACAAGAAATAAATAAAAGGAGATGTGGTGTACACAAGACAAACCAAAACTGATCAGAAATCTAGAGGAGAGAATAAGTTTTTAACAATAATCACATTTTTATACATATATTTCAAGCTTTAATTTGCAAAACGTATTGACAAATTAAGAGTAATTTAAAAAAAAGACTACATTAGATCTGCCAACTCAACAAAAAGATAGACACTTCAAAAATACCTGAAGATACATGGAATATATTGTCTCCGTTAACATTCCAGATTTTTCCATAAAAAAAATGAAACCTATCCATCCCATTGATTTTTTTTTTTAAATCAAACAGATCGGTGTCCTTTTTTTGCCTCATTATATTAGATTTTCTTAAAGAAATCTGTATGTCAAAATATATGACGAACAGCACAACTTTTCCTTTTCTATTATTAATTTTCCATTATTACTTGATAGTGATGTTCTATTAATAACTTCTCATGGAGTGTATATTTTTTTTAGTTGACTCGATATGTGCGTGTTTACACTAACGTCTAAGATCACAATACACTTAATGTTTTCATTGCTGATCAATTTTACAACCGAGATCAGAATATCATTAATTTGATAAAAACTAAATCCTATAAGAAATACTATACAGAAAACTAAAGACTGGTCATCGCTGATTTAGTGATGTAATGTAGAATATAACGATTCTACTTACAGAAAGGACAAGGTACGATAAGGCACGTTTTTGGCCCCCCTATTTTCTCATTTTTCAAATTTTGTTTTGGAAAGCTACTTAATATGTTAAAATACTCCCTGAGGTTTGAAGTTTGTTTGGTTGAACTTCAAACTTGGTGAGGTGAGGGGGGTAAACTTTCTGTTATTATTCAAATATTGTTATTATTATTCACTTTGCAGGTGTTCCGTACAACGAAGTTTTAGTTTTTAAGTGCCTGCGCCAAATGTGACCCAGGAATTTTTTTATTCCAATGTCATGAGAACTGTTTTTGCTGTATAAATCGCCATAATTTTCTCCGGGTCGAGTAGGCGCACGTTATTAAATTTTAAGAAACAATGGCCAAAAATCGTAATTTTTCCTTCTTTTGGCGTTTTAGATGCCCTTTTACCCCCCTCAGCTCACCCATTTTCTGAAATTAATGGTTTTGAAGTTCATCCAAACAAACTTCAACCTAAGGGAATATTTTAACGTGATAAGAAGCTTTCCAAAACAAAATTTGAAAAATGAGAAAATAGGGGAGCAAAAAACGGGCCTTATCGTACCTTGTCCTTTAATAACAAGTGGTATTTCACAATAAGCGTTTTACGATAATATCATTTGTTAAGCTAAGTGATATAAAAATTCGTCTTTAAATCTCTCATTTTTGGCTAAATAGAGTTGTATTTAAAATTATAATAAGACTGTTAATTGACTAGGATCAGTTTTCCTGCCGAAAGCGTAGGTTCTCTCCGACTTTTTCCACCAATAAAAACTGACCACCACGAAACAGCCAATACTGATGGAAGTGGCATTAAACACCATGGCGACATAGTGTGATGTCAGCAGGTTTGTAGTTAATTTTGATAGCTAAGGACTTCTCGTGTAAAGATTCTTATTGTATGTTCCTTTATTTACTTATTGTTGGTCTTCCGATCGAGATTTTAAAAAAAGGAGAGGGTTATTATATAAAAAGAACTACTAGTGAAATAACCCCGCAATGTTGGTGTGCCTGTCATAAATCGGAAATCTTGTTAGTAGATGTCTGGGTTTTTGTTTCTTGGAGAATTTGGTGCAGCATGAATGCAGATCATTGATAGTCTTAGTTAAACTTAATCATTACAGTTTAGAGATTCAGGTGTATTTTGAACGTGTATAGGTAGGCAACTGTCTATTATTGAATACTATGTTGACATCTATATAAAACTAGAGGCTCTCAAGAGCCTGTGTCGCTCACCTGTATCTACTGTGGCTTTGGAAATCATGTAAAATAAGGTTTAAATCATAATAAATAGTATTAGATAACCTAATAATGATTGAGGCCAAGTTTGGTTTAATTTGGCCCAGTAGTTAAGTTAAAAGCAGGTCATCCCACTACTAACCTGACTTGGGACAGGCACATAAAGAATGTGGCGGAGTTAACATGTTTGTGAGCGCTCATCCCGCCACTAAGCTAGTTGTCTTTTTAAATCTTCTTTGTTGCAATGATTCGTTCTCATTGACATACGTATATCAACAATCGCTTTTTCATCATTTTATCGTTGACATGCATCGTTCTTTCCACCAATGTTTATGTAAACTTTGTGCTTATTTTCTTATTTTCATTTGAAAAAAAAAAAATTTTATGTGGGGAAAGATGCATCCGTTAAAACCAGTTCCCTTAAAAAGTGAAATAATAGGTATAACATGTGTTATGTATATAAATACTCACTAAATTCCAAAGGGGGAGGAGGTGAAGTAGGAGTTAAAGTTGTTTGTGTTTCAACTATTGATGAAAAATAAAGCTGAAATAAAAAAAATATGTATGACAATTTTTGCATTTGAATATTTAATTATTTTTCAGACATTTACCAATCCGCTTCTGCATGATGTCATTATACGGATTACAACTTATTAGCGGGATTAAACATGATCGAGTATATACACTGCTGAATCTCTGAATTTCTGAGTTCAACGGAGGTTTTTGTTGATATTCTTGGTTCTTAGTCTTTAGTTTTCTGTGTAGTGTTTTCTGGATTCTTACTTGTCTTAACGTCGTATCATTTTGGGATAAAATTCTTCTGAGTTTTATTTTAAGAAAAAAATAATCGCCTTATGCCACATACGTGCATTTATTTTGAAGAAGATATCTTGCAAAAACAATTGCAAATCTTGGTTTTACGTGATTATAATCCTGAATTTAGAAATAATATAAAGACATTTCTTGCAACCGTACTCTATTAAGTAAAATGTGCACAACTTTTTGTATCATATGGAAATTGCTCATTGTTACAGGAGGACTTTTGTTCATTTATTGAAAACTTACCAATGATAGAATAAAAACTGCTGATACTGCCATTGTTTAGACAAACTGTGTGTGATAATACCTGAAATAATAATCAATTTGAAAAATCGTTACAATGTAACATTGTTGGAGTATACCTTTTCATAAACCTAGAGAACTGCATTTTTTCGGATTTTTTTCTCATAAATATAATACACAAATATTAGTTTTTCAAGATGTTCAAGTTCATTAAAAGCAAAACACAGTGTACCCCATTAGAATCAAATTATTTATATTAGGTGCTTGCTGTAAGGTATTTGACAAAAAAAAAAAAAAAAATAATAAAAAATAAAAAAAAAATATTCCTTATGACAACAGTAACTGTACAAACCCTAAAACTATAACATAACATTCCGAGGACACGAAGTCTGCTTTCAGAGCGGGCTTCAGATGGCCCCTTAAAAAAATCTGTAAACTAGTACAGCGAAAAATGGACGTCACACTAAACTCCGAAATATATAAACAATGATAAATGTACCAAAATTAAAATCAAAGTACTGAAGTACTGAACATAAGATGACCGCAAGTTCTTGTGGATGGTCATAAGCACTTGTCTCAGAAAAAAAAATCATACCTCTATACCTTAAAGTGAGGTTAAGGTACATAGATACATTTTTTTCTGAGACAAGTTTGTGCGTGGATGATGAATAAATGACAGGGAATTTAACCTCACCGTAATAACTATTATATTGTAGTGATATAAATCAGTATACTCAATATCTAATATATATTATATTAATATTTGTATATAACAGTTACATGTATATATAATTTTCATCCATTTGTATATCATTCTATTCTACTATTCTAATAATAGTGCAGTGCAAGTGCATGGTGGACACTCTTCTGTAATAGTTCGATTTTTCTAATAGATTGGATTTGAGTAGGCTATCATATTTTCCCGCAAAACGTTCTTGAGATATTCTTCCGCATGCGTTAACACAAATTTTCGGTATTCTTGATTTGTTATTGATATATATATATTTCTCACGACAAAACATTTTCATATCATTTATCTATGTTCTTAAAAATTATGTTCATGAATATTTATTGATGAAATTGATATATAAAAAGCGATAAGGAATGTTATTTTGCGTTCGGTTATCAGTCAAAAACAAAAGTCACGTGGGTAGAAATGTCTGTGGCAAAGGTGCACAATGTCATTATAAGGTTAAGATTCTAAAAAAGTTTCATCACATTATGATTAGGGTCTAAGAGGAGAACCGAATGCTATGGAAAACTATAATGTGCACATATAACGGAGTCTATGGCTTCCCAAAGGAAACGTTTGTTATAGATTCTAGTTTGAAGTCGTCCAT